TATCCAGACTTTTCCTAAATTATGTCAATTTCAATTTCAGCCCAAAATCTAAACTGAATCCGTTTATATCTGGCTTTTATTCCGGTACTAATAATTACTTCTTCAGTGGTAACTTGACGTTAAGTGATGATGCATTATAATTCAAACCAAATTTTCTGCTAATTTTAATCTCCAGAATGAAGCAGGAACACGAAGACCTAGTTTTGAAAGCATGTGGAGCAAAGTCTCTGCAGATTGGTGCAAAGATTCAGACTTTGTGGAGCGGTTATGGTGAAATATTACGAGTCCACATGGAGGGATGTGACCGTCCCTCTGTGGTAGTCAAACATGTGATGTTTCCCCAAAACCAGAAGCATCCGGGGGGCTGGAACACAGACATATCTCACCAGCGCAAGGTGCGATCCTACCAAGTAGAAAGTCACTGGTACCAAAATTACACTACCAACGAACAATGCCGAGTTCCTGCTTGTCTTGCTGTCCAGTCATTTGGTGATGAGCAGTTGATTGTTTTAGAGGACCTTGATGTTGTAGGATTCCCGGTGAGAAAAACCTACGTTAATGATGCTGAAATAAAGGCCTGCCTCAGCTGGATTGCCAACTTTCATGCACTTTTCCTCAACGTTGCCCCAGAAGGGCTTTGGCCTATAGGCACATATTGGCATTTAGAAACAAGGCCTGAAGAGCTAGAAGCCATGTCCGATCAAAAACTCAAAGCAGCTGCTGCAGAGATAGACAGCATCCTCAACAACTGCCGCTTTAAGACAATTCTACATGGTGATGCAAAACTAGCTAATTTCTGCTTCTCCGTGGATGGTTTACAGGTTGCAGCTGTTGATTTTCAGTATGTTGGTGGAGGGTGTGGGATGAAGGATGTTATTTACTTTATAGGCAGCTGTATGGATGAGAAAGAGTGTGAAAAGAGAGTGCCTGGCCTTCTGGATCACTATTTTTCAGAGCTACAGAAATCTTTGGACGAGAAGACCAACTTTCCAGAGCTGGAGAAAGAATGGCGAAGCATGTTCGCTTTCGCTTGGACAGACTTTCATCGCTTTCTCCTTGGATGGATGCCCGGTCATCACAAGATTAATAAGTATAGCAAAAGACTTACTCAGGAGGTTTTAAACAAATTGAAGCAATCTCAATCAAACTGAAACACAGAGGAAGAACGATGTGGCTTGGCTTTTATAATAACAAAATACACTGGACTGTAAATTATATTTGAGGCTGTACCACAAAATGCTTATTATTTTAGAACTGGCTTTATTCTGTATGTAATGTGAGCACTTGATCTTGAGATTAAAATGTATTTCTATTTATTTTTTGTATTCTGTATAAATTTTTAATGTTAAAGCATACCCACACATTCATCTTTCATAGTAACATTTTATAATTAGCTGAAATTATAAAGGCATCATTAACCTTATTTAGAGAATTGGTTTTGTTCTGTATGTAATGTGAACACTTGTTTGTGCGATTAAAAAATACTTATTTCTATTAAATATTTTATTGTTTTTTAGATTGTTTTAGAATTTGTTGTTTAATTAATAAAAAAAATTTAAACAACACATTTAATGATTAATGCTAAAGCATACATACCCACACACTCATCTTTCACAGAAACTTTCAATTATAAAGGCTTCATTAGAAACTTTCTTTGTTTCTTTAAACATTTTATTATTTTTTAAACAAATTGTTATGATTTTTTTTAATCACAAATGCTCTAGAGCAGTGTTTCTCAACCAGGGGTCTGTGGACCCCTAGTGGTCCTTGACATAAGGCCAGGGGGTCCGTATAAAGTATGAATTTTTGTATACATTTTGTATATTTTGACATGACATGTTCCCATGAAAGAAAAATCGAATATAGCTGATGATATGGCCAAATACTGGACAAGTCAGCTAACTTGAATTATACTTGACTGTATTTAGTCCTCACAAAGACACAAATGATACAAGTCAATTTTGTTCTGGGGGTCCTTGAGGATGGTTCTGAATTGGATTGGGGTCCGGTACGCCAAAAGGTTGAGATTCACTGCTCTAGAGGAGAACTGGCCCTAAATGAACTGCCTTTAACTAAAAAATTGAGTGTTTGCTATTGTCATTTTGCATTATTGACACACTAGTTTCCTATTTAATACTGTATTGTTAAAAGCGCTATATAAATAAAGGTGACTTGACTTGACTATATCAAAATTGCTCCCTGATTTGAGGTTGTTTGAATTACTCATTTTGACTGATTGACAAACTCTTTTGAACAAGGTGCATATAAAGTTATGGGGAAATTATATCTAAAAAAAAAAAATCCTATGTAATTGAGTTGCATAGTTTAGCTGCATTTAATGTTAAATAATAACAAAAATAATAAGTTTAAGTTTGAAGAGTTGTGTGGTACAGAATTGGAATAGCCTATTTTTTTTTCACGAACTGGTGTTTGTCTTTTGAGAAGAGGCCTCGCCTTCATGCTGAATTAACGGTGATAAAAGAAAGAAATCGCAAAGCTGATCTCAGGTCAGTACATACGTGCTCCTTTTATGTATGTGGAAACATCTCCAAATGTAATGAACTTTTGTTTATATTCAAAAACAGAAATATACGAACACTTTCAGGAAAACATCAAGAAGCATTCAAAAAAAAAAAAATAATAAATCAACGAAGGGTAATCGTACACGTTTAAATGGGAGTAAGTCAAACCAAAACTTCTGAACCAGTTCACAAGAAAAAATAAATGTATTAATGTTTCATCTTCATTACCACAAAATGTGCAAATATTTGAAATATCAACATATTCGGACACAGTTAAATTAACGGCATGTTTTATACAGTATTTTAAAGTAGAATTCTTTGGTCTTGTTAGGAAGACAATATGTATGTGGTAACAGCCATGCTCTTCTCCAGTCTATAGCCTATTGTCAATTAAGGCAGCCCAGTGGGATCTGCCTCGAGGAAAAATACGGTCTCTCTTCTGAAAAATCAGGCGAATATGTTTATTATTGCATTTCTTGTCATAAATGCCAATGCCATCCATTAACAAAACCGACTCCTTTGTATCTTTGTGTCCATATAAAATATGGACCTTGACCAGCTGCATTGGATTGGACCTGTGGGAATAGCTCTTAGAACAGTGTTGTATTCTTTGAAAGGAACAGGAAAGTCGTGGACAGTCATGAAGCCCAAATGTAGGAACTTTTTATTTCTTTTAATTAAAGGGGTCATATGATGCGATTTCAAGTTTTCCTTACTCTTTGGAGTGTTACAAGCTGATTTACAAGCTTTACAAGCTGGTTTACAAGCTGTGCATAGATAAGATCCCTGAAGTTGCAAAGACTAAAGTCTCAAAACCAAAGAGATATTCTTTATCAAAGTTAAGACTTTGCCACACCCCCCTAAAACGGCTCGTTCTAACACGCCCCCACATATCTACCTCACTATGTGGAAATATTTGCATAATGCCGCCCAAATGTGCACGCAAAGAAAGAAGGCGTGGTTTCAGTAACCGCAGTTAGTGTTGAAGCAGCATGTCAGGGAGACGCTGTGTGTTTCAGTGCAAAAGCAAAAGCAATTTATTTGGCCTTCCGAAAGTTGATGCATTTAGGAATCTTTAAGATTACTTACAACAGAACAGCAATGCATTTTATGGACGACCGTTTCGTGA